TTATCCACACACTCTTCTGTTCATCCACACACTCTTCTGTTCATCCACTCTCTCCTCTGTTCATCCACACACTCCTCTGTTCATCCACTCACTCCTCTGTTCATCCACACACTCCTCTGTTCATCCACACTCTCCTCTGTTCATCCACACTCCTCTGTTCATCCACTCTCTCCTCTGTTCATCCACACACTCCTCTGTTCATCCACTCTCTCCTCTGTTCATCCACACACTCCTCTGTTCATCCACACTCCTCTGTTCATCCACACTCCTCTGTTCATCCACTCTCTCCTCTGTTCATCCACACACTCCTCTGTTCATCCACACACTCCTCTGTTCATCCACACACTCTTCTGTTCATCCACACACTCCTCTGTTCATCCACACACTCCTCTGTTCATCCACACACTCCTCTGTTCATCCACACACTCCTCTGTTCATCCACTCACTCCTCTGTTCATCCACACACTCCTCTGTTCATCCACACACTCCTCTGTTCATCCACACACTCCTCTGTTCATCCACACACTCCTCTGTTCATCCACACACTCCTCTGTTCATCCACACACTCCTCTGTTCATCCACTCACTCCTCTGTTCATCCACACATCTCCTCTGTGTTCATCTGCAGGTCTTGACTATATTCTCGGCCTCTAACTACTATGATGTGGGCAGTAACAGAGGAGCCTACATCCGCCTGGGGCCCGACCTCGTCCCGCACTTCAAACAGTTCCAGGCCAGCAGATCCACACGAGAGCTCACACTGCGGCAGAGGTCAACACACACACACACACACACACACACACACACACACACACACTCACACACACAACTAAAATTTGTACATTCTTTTTATGAATGTGGCAGATTTTGCAAGTGTGTAAAATGGGATGCTCTGTGTGTGTGTGTGTGTGTGTGTGTGTGTGTGTGTGTGTGTAGTGTGGGAAGAACAGAACGTTCTGCATTACAGGCTTTGAAGATGCAACTGTTTGCACACAAATCTGCCCTGATCCGAGAGTTTCAGGAGTACGACCCAGAGCGCGCAGGTGATCATCTTCATCATCATCATCTTCACATTAGTGGAGGAGCTCTCACGTCAACCTCACCTGAGCAGCTTTAGCAGAAGCTGCAGGATGTGTAGAGGCTGTAGTCATGCGCGTGTAGTACAGTGTGTGTGTGTGTGTGTGTGTGTGTGTGCAGGGCTGGTCTCTCTGGAGCACTGGGCTGTGGTGGTGGAGAAGGTCCTGCAGCTCAGTTTGCCCTGGAGAGTTCTGCGCTCTCAGCTGGTGTCCAGCAGCACTCAGGATGGGTTACTCCACTACCAGGACTGGGTCAACCAGCTGTCCGTCCTGCAACCCAACACTGAGGTGAGCAAACACACACACACACCACTCAGACGAGCGGTAACTATAGCTCATCTACACGAGTGACTCGACCGCTCTTCCTGTCAGATCGCCAACACCAGTCTGCTGGAGACGCTCTACAAACACCACTCCAACCTGGAGAGCATCTTCAGGATGATCGACACGGACCACTCAGGTGATCAGACCGGCGGGTGTAGACAGACGTGTGTTATAGACGCAGCAGTGTGTGTACAGGATCTAGAGTCTGATCGTGTGTGCAGGTCTGATCTCCCTGGAGGAGTTCCATCAGACGTGGAGGCTGCTGAGCGCTCACCTGCAGACGGACATCAGCGACGCCGCCATCGCAGAGCTGGCCCACAGCATCGACTTCAACAAGGACGGCAGCATCGACATCAACGAGTTCATGGAGGCCTTCAGGCTGGTGGAGCACTCTAGAGCTGAGAGGACAGCGGAGTGACACACACACACACACAGGCACGCACACACACACACACGCACACACAGACACACGCACACACACACACACACGCACGCACACACACACAGCTGGACTGAACACTACACAGATGATCTGTTCTACTTACACTCTAGCACAGATGAGGTTTTCTGCAGTGCACACACACACACACACACACACATTAATCAAAGACGTGTGAATGACAGATGAGTTTTATTAAAGTCAGTAAAACACTCCAGCTGATCAACACCACTGTAAAAATAAACAATCCTGATCATTCATGTCTGACTGCAGGTGTTTGTGTGTGTGTGTGTGTGTGTGTGTGTGTGTGTGTGGTCAGCTCAGTTTGCTGCTGCGTGTGTGAACACTGTCGTGGAGTCCGTCTTCAATAGTCTTGATGTCGTCCAGATCATCTTTGATGACGCTGATCAGGTGACTCAAACCCTCCTGCTGATGCTTCAGGTGCTGCAAACACACACACACACACACACATTTATCAGATGCATAGCGCATTCACACACACACTGACACTCATTTCACAAGTTCACTCACACACACACACACACACACACACACACACACACACACACACATGCGCACACACGCACGCACACACACACACACACACATGCGCACGCACGCACACACACACGCACGCACGCACACACACACACAGCTCTTGCCTGTCGGATCTCTCTCAGCAGGTCTGCGTCCACTCGGTATCGCTCCTCTGCTCGCACCGCTCCAAAATGATTCTGCATCCTAATCTGAGACATGAGTTCATTCAGTCGTCCCTGAAACACACACACACACACACACACACACACACACACACACACACTTGTATAAGAGGCTGTGTCGTCTTAATGAGATGTATTTAGAGCTGTAATGATCCTGTAGACACAATAAGAGTACAGCGAGAGAGAAGCTGACCGGCTGCAGACGTCTCAGCAGGCTACACATGCAGTGATGCATCCCAAACTACAGGTCTCCGTGTGTGTGTGTGTGTGTGTGTGTGTGTGTGTGTGTGTGAGAATGAGCTGGCTCAGCCCGGGTCATCTCCTGATCACTTCACTCAGGGTTTACAGTAACGTCGGCTACTTCTGTAAATCAGTCAGGGCTTTGCTAATATCAGTGTCTGCATCACGCCTCTGTCATTCATATAGCATATACGTATACACACCCGTACACCAACTACTCTCCACCGGTGGGCCGCGGTCCACTAATGGGCCTCAGCGGTCCTGCAGGCGGGCTGCGAGAGCTTCAAATGAACTTATCGCACTGTAATTATTTCCCGTTTAGTGTTTGTGCAATAAGAGCCTGACTGTAAAATCCACCTGAGCGTGCCGGCACTTCCAAATATTCCTGCAGCTCAATGAGTTATTGGGGGAAATATTAAATACAACTTTAATAAACAGGGAAATTAAATATCAACAGAAGCATTACACACCATATAGAACAGTGGTAGTTTGCTTGTGTTTCATTTGGAAAAGGTCTATCTTGGTTGAATTTACTGTATTATTGCTCTGTTCCTAAAGATCTTATATATATATATATTAACTATTATTGACTATAAAGTGTTCATCATTATTAAGACGTTTAGTGAATTGAAATGGCATCAGATTAGGCCGGGTGAATGTTCACATTACCTTGATTAAGCTTGAACTGAAGCCTGAGAGTTCCCCTGCCTCAGACCCGGCCGGTGTCCCCGCATGAGCTGCAGAGGAACCGAGTCTGAATCTGCCATCAATAAACCTTCACTAGCCAACAACCAGAGTCTCCCTCTGCAGTGAGCGTCTGACAGCCAGAGTACACACTACAGTGGACACCGCTTTATGTGTGTGTGTGTGTGTGTGTGTGTGTGTGTGTGTGTGTGTGTGTGTGTGTGTGTGTGTGTGTGTGTGTTCACAGCTTTTGCTGCTCATTCGGTTCACTGGCGACATCGTGTGGACAAACTGTGCAGTGCAACCATTTCAAAAATGTGTGTGTGAGTGTTTGTGAGTGTGTGTGTGTGTGTGTTTGTGTGTGTGAGTGTTTGTGAGTGTGTGTGTGTGATCTGAATGCAGTGCTGATGGAGGAAATCCCCTCATGCACACACCTTGAACTGTGTGGGTGCGTTGAGCTCTGATTGGATGGTCTCCAGCTGCACCCGCAGGTGCTCCTCATCCAGCTGCACGGCGTAACCACTCTTCCTCTGCACCTCCTGCCGGATCAACACCTGCAGCGCACACACACACACACACAGAGAGAGAGAGAGGGTGAAGCCTGGTTTATTCTCGATGTGTGCGCTAGTTCTCTTGACTGTGACGTCGTCGCTGTGTTTGCGGAGGTTGGCCTCGGGTGTGTGACGTGATGTCGGTGTGTGGAGCGCGGGGTTATTTTCAGACTGCAGTGAACAGTTCGAGCAGCGGCGTGTTTGATTTGAGTTGAATATGAAACACTCTGAAGTGTTAGTGTGTAACAGAACGCCTGTACACACACCTGTATAATCCCTGATCAGACAGAACCTGAGCATCAGTCGTTCTTGGCCAGAGACTGCAGCAGCCGTGAGAGAGGAGGAAGATGTTGATAAATGTTTATTAAACTTGAGGGATGTTAAAGCCGAAAGAGGCCATGGCAGAAGCGGAGAGCAGATCCGCCATTACTGAATGTGTTCATCCTCCAGTCACAGGCTACACTGATGTGCACGAGACAGTTTACAAGCTAAATCTGTTCAATAGCTACAAAACTGTCATGAAGGAGCAGATGATGCACTGACGACTGGAGATGAACATCTGAGCCGGTCCGGCTACACTACACTGATGTCTGATTCCCCCCGCTTCACTGGTGATCATGGCCAGGAGTGTTGGACTAGTGTTGCCTATTCAGCAGAAGTAGAGCACAGAAACTAGCCAGACAGTCTGTGTGTGTGTGTGTGTGTGTGTGTGTGTGTGGTACCTGCAGCACTCTGTGTGAGAGGTCCATCAGTTTGCGTTTGTACTGTGTGATCTTGGCGGCGGTGGTGGCCTGATTCCTCTGCAGCTCACTGATGTCTGTGGAGATGATCTGAACACACACACACACGTAATGAAACACACACACACACATCAGTGGTAAAACACACACACACACACACTCTCACTCTCTGTCTTACGTCCACTCGTGTCTGGTGCTGTTTGGTCATCTGCTCCTGGATCTTCAGCCGGCGCAGCAGCTCACGGAAGCCCACCATCGGCACCGGAATCAGCCTGAAGAGGAGGAAGAGGAAGAGGATGAAGATCAGAGCAGCAGCATCAGGCATGAGTGAGTGAATCAGCACACACTTCTCTGGGTCTGGATTGTCCACTTTAGCCTGTTCCCAGATGATGGGGTCCACACCTGCGCGCGCACACACACACACACACACACACACACACACACAGTTAGCTGTCTGTTATTCATCAGCAATGTGCATCACAAGTGTGTGTGGCTGTGCTGGAGTCAGTGTGTGTGTGTACCTGCGGGGGGGTTCTGCAGCAGTTGTTTGAGCTGTGCTGGGCTCAGGGCGGTGCGGCTGACGGTCATGATCACGCTCAGCTGCTGCAGTTGTGTTTTGATGTTCACCTGCTCCAGGAAGTTGTAGAGCGTCGACGCCGGCACACGCTTAGAGGAGCCGTTCGGGGAGCGCTCCACCACATAGATGATCACCTCCGTCCTGCACGTGCACACACACACACACACACACAGATGAACAGCGCTCTACAGTACAGTGTGTCAGGGTTCAGAGGTCAGGCAGTGCAGTATGGGGGCTGTAGGGTCAGTGTGAGGCTCTACTGTACTCCTGCTCTCAGGCTCAGCAGAGCTAGCTGATGCTTGTATGAGCTCTAGATGAGATGACTGTAAGGCTCTGCTGCTCCAGCGTCCTCTATTAATAAGCTTCAGTCAGTGAAGCTGCAGCAGACATGTCCTCATCCCCGCGTGTTCTCCTGCTGCACCGGCTGCTGTTCAGTCCAGTATTGATCATCAGATATTGCTGCTTCCCTATAAATCTGTGAATAACCCAGCTCCTGTTCATCTGACCCAGCTTCTGTCTCGCTACAGCCCAACCCGCTCTTCAAGAGCTCTACACTCAGGGCTTCTGAAGAGCAGAGTCCACTAAAGGAGGTCGAGTCTTCTCCTTTATGGCTGACAGACCTGCTGTAGCACACACTCCTCCTGTCCTCATGCAGCAGACACTGTGTCAGAAACTCCCCACTGCTTCACATGTGTGTGTGTGTGTGTGTGTGTGTGTGTGTGTGTGTGTGTGTGTGTGTGTGTGTGTGTGTGTGTCTTTCTATACCTGCTGTCTTCATCCCTGCTCTTCACTTTCATCTGCGATACACTTTAATATGAGTCTGTGTGTGTGTGTGTTACTCACTGGTCGTCCGGCAGCGCGCGCACCCCCTCCACATTGACGGAAAGTGTGTGTGCTCCTCCCAGTAGTTTGTGCAGAGACTCGACCAGCTGCTGCTGCTGCAGACGCACATCTGCCTCACGCTTCCCCAGAGCCAGAGCCAGCAGACCGTCCTCATCACGCACATCTGGAACACAGCTGTAGCCCACCGCCTGCACACACACACACACACACACACACACACACACACACACACACACACAGAGATGAGCACAGAGGGACTACAGAAACACCCTGAAATAATACACACAACACCTTGAATCTGCAGAGGTGTGTGTGTGTGTGTGTGTGTGTGTGTGTGTGTGTGTGTGTGTGCGTGCACCTTGAATCTGCAGAATGGGTTCTCCTGGCTGAACTCTACAGGCGGTGTGGTGCTGCAGTAGTATCCTCTGCCGATCCCCCAGAATGCCTGCAGTTGGTTCCAGCGCGCCAGGATGGAGTCTCGCTCGTCACTGAGGACCGCCGGCGCTGAGAGAGCGCTCGCTGTGTTGAAGAGCTGACTGCACGGGGGCGGAGCCTGCTGGCCGAACACACCACCTGGGTACACACACACACACACACACACACACTTGGTCCACATGTGCTCAGATGTGCATCAGAAGTCGAGTGTCAGTTGTCCTGAAATGAGCTGCAGAGTGCAGAGTGACTGAGCTGACTGCAGCACACGCTGACCTCTGACCTCTGCAGTCGCTCAGTTCAGGAGTCATGTAGCTCAGGGCTTCTCAGCCGCTTCTCTTCAGGGCGCTGCCGTCTCTGATCAGTTTTTGAAGGCCGGTCTGTCTGACATGTGCACTAAAATGTGTGTGAAATGCTTATTTAAACACACACACACACACACACACAGAGTAAACTCTACATGTGCTGAAGCGTGAGGATGTGCTGGTGTTTGAGTCTGATATTGGATGTTATTGTGAGATGTCTGACAGTATCAGTGAGCAGCTCCGCCAGCGCGTCTGAAGCTCATCTGCAGGATTATTCCAGTCAGAAACACACTGAGCCTCGCTGGACCCTCCTGTACGGCCGCTCTTCCCTCAAAGCCGTGTTTCCACTATCGCGCCTAAAGCGAGTGAGCCAGGGCCCGTCGCGTTTCCACTGTCACTTCCGGGGCCTAATCGGGCCAAAGCGGGGCTTTCTTGGGGCCAGCGGCCGGCCTTTTCAGCCCGCCGAATACCTTGGGCCAAAGAGGGCCAGCCGGGGCTTCAGGGCGGAGTGAAAGGAGAGGCGGGCAGTTTTCTGATCGCACATGAGTACATGCGCCAAACACACAAACCAATAAGGGAAAGAAAACATCGTGGATGCTTATTGAAAACATTTAAGTGTCTTTTCTTTGCTGCGTCCTCCTCGATGTTTCAATAATGCAGAATAATCTTTAGAGCAGCGATGGTCAACCCTGTTCCTGGAGATCTGCCTTCCTGCAGAATTCAGTCCCAACCCTAATCAAACACACCTGAACCAATTAATAGTCCCTGAAGCAGCACTTGATCATTACAAACCGCTGTGTTTGCTCAGGGCTACAACTGAAATGTGCAGGAAGGCAGATCTCCAGGAACAGGGTTGGTGACCGCTGCTTAAACACACAGCAGACTGTAAAGGTTTTCCAGAGTTATTGTCAAGTTTATAAGGTGTGTTTGTGCGTGTTTAGATGTGTGTGTGTGTGTGTGTGTGTGTGTGTGTGTGTGTGTGTGTGTGTGTGAGACTAAGGGAAAGAGCGCTCCCTTCACAGCTCTGTTGATGCCGCGAGCAGCTTTTTCCTTTAATATTTTTCTTCTTTATTTATTTTGGAGATAATACACTATATGAACACAACAGAAACACATGAAACTCTACAAATTTGATGTCCACTTTTGTAGGCTCAAAACAATAGTGTCATATCTAGATAAAATAGCCGAAGCTGTATTGAAATAATGTAAAGAATTACAAATATCAGATATAATAAAATCACATTAAATAAATAAACCAATAGAAAACTAACAAAAGCTAGAACAATTAGGCCCTATATCAAACTGTTAAAGCCATAAACTTCATTTTACAAAAGCCTCTCTGAAAAAAGATTTGATATTTTCTAAACACAATACTCACCGGTGAAGGTTTTAAATATTATGTATAAAGTATTTGGAGACGATGATATTAATCAAATCCTGCACACAGAGCATTATCAGGGCGAGTGAACGCAGAAATAGGCGCCTTTTCTTCTGTCTGCAGCTGCGCAGCACTTTACAGACGCATCGGGGAAAACTGCAAACACAACATGTGTTCTGTGTCCTCAAACAAGTGTGTGTGTGTGTTTATATGACGTGGAGAAATTACAAAAGGAAAATTAAATACATAAAGAGCTTTATTAGTGCACAGCTGCTGAGCGCAACGCAATACAGGCTGTATTTTATTACGTGCTGCTCTTATGTGCTGAACACTTTCCTTTACTTCAGATATAATAATCAACATCTTTAAATAAAGCGAATCCCCTATTAACTGTCATAAAGCCTACAGGGAAAATCATGTTTCAGTTCTCTCCGGAGCGTTTGGGCTGAATGTTGGACAGATTCTGTCTAGAGGATGTTATCCAACACATTTTATATCGAGTTATTAGTGGAGAATTTGATATATGTGGTGTTATATTATGGATGTGTGCGCTCCCTGCGCTGGGTCCCTCCGTTAGTGGCGAGACCACTGGATTTCGATGCCAACAGCCGGTCGATGAGTAAATGACTATGATGAATGAGAACACAGGTCTGTGTGTATAGACGTATAATGTGCTGCTGTACAGTAACGGGTCGTTTGTGTGTTTGGGTTGTCTTTATTTTAATGCTCTCCTGATGATGATGATGTGGTGGGCTTTATCTGCCTGATTCCCGCTGAAGTGGGCGGGTTGTGTGACGTTTTAATTCGGGGGATGTTTTGGGGGCGGGGTTTGCGTGACGCGCTGCGAGCTAGTGAAAGAGCAGAATGAGCAGAGCGGCGTGCGCTAGCGCCATCATGAGGCCCATCCTGCAGCCAGTTCTGAAGTAACCAATCAGAGAGCAGGATTGAGCACATGACTGACATCATCTAATGCAGCGAGAAATACAGAGTAATATGGAGATCTCTCTCACGGCCCGCCGGCCGACACTCCTGCTTCAACAGACTCCTCTGCTGGACTGTCATTCACTCCAGCTCCATGTGCTTTATGCAGAATATCAGCTGTTTCCACTGCTCTGTGTGTGTGTGTGTGTGTGTGTGTGTGTGTGTGTGTGTGTGGCTCTGACTTCACCTTGCTGTGTGTTCTGCAGCGCACCGAAGCCTCCAAAGCCCAGAGCTCCTCCACCCAGAGCCCCAGTGAAGCCTGAAGCCGGAGCCGGAGCGCTGGAGAAGCCGAAGCCCTTACTCTGGGTGTTGAAGAGACTCGAACCTGCAGGCGGAGAGGAGACGCGCTCAGAGACAAGCACACACACAAACACACACACACACACGCATGCGCACACACAAGCATACACACACACACACACACACACACACATATGCATGCATGCGCACACACAAGCATACACACACACGCATGCGCACACATACACACACAGTGTCCCATTTCAGATACACACACCACACCCTAACACTGTGTGTGTTAGAGACGTGTGTGAGGTGTGTGTAGTAACTCTGCAGTGTGTGTGCACGGGACGCAGCATCTCTCCTCTCTCTCTCTCTGTATGTGTGTGTGTGTGTGTGCGCCTGTACCTGTGTTAGCCGGTGTGGAGAAACTGAAGCTTGACCCAGTGCCGGCGGAGGTGGTGGTGGAGCCGAACCCGCCAAACGCTCCTGCTGGAGACAAACACACACCACAGATGAAAAACACACACTCACACACACGCACACGCACACAACAGAGACGAAAAAAACACACAAGATGAAAACACACACACACACACACACACACACACACCGGAGATGAAAAACACACTCACACACACACTCACGCACACGCACACAACAGAGACGAAAAAAACACACAAGATGAAAACACACACACACACACACACACACCGGAGATGAAAAACACACTCACACACACACTCACGCACACAACAGAGACGAAAAAAACACACAAGATGAAAACACACACACACACCGGAGATGATGAGCACTAACTGTTGATGACATGATCAGAGTGGCACCAACACACACACACACACTACGTCTGTCTGTCTGTCACTCTCTCTCTCTCTCTCACACACACACAGGGATGGAGGCGTGGCGTGATCTGATCATGCGTGACCTTTGACCTCTCGGAGCTCATCTACCTGCTCCCCCGAGGCCGCTGCCGAAACTGAACACCGGGGCCGCAGGGCCCAAACCGAACCCGCCGAAACTAACAGCAGCGGCAGAGGGGGCGGGGCCAGGGCCCGCACTGCAGACCAGGGGCCCGAATCCTGACCACAGCGGCCCCAGGAGAAACACACACACACAAACAGGAGAGAGTCAGTGTGTTAGAGACAGCGCGCACACACACACACACACACACACACACACACAGGAGAGAGAGAGTCAGTGTGTTAGAGACAGCGCACACACACACAGGAGAGTGTGTTAAAGACAGCGCATGCACACACGCACACACACACACACACACACACACACACACAGGAGAGAGTTTGTTAGATACAGCACACACGCACACACGTGAACGCAAGCAAACACATGCTCGCACGCACGCGCACACACACGAGAGAGAGTGGGTTAGTGACAGCATATGCACGTATGCGCACACACGTGCTCGCTCACAAACACACACACACACAGAAGAGAGTCAGTCAGTGTGTTAGAGACAGCACACACACACACACTCACCCGTGCCACCAGTGCCGAAGCCGAAGCCTGTGGAAGCTGATGTGGTGGTCGGCGCTCCAAAGCCGGTTCCGGTCAGACCTGTAACCATGGCAACAGCATGTTAGCAGCGCGTGCGTGTGTGTGTGTGTGCACGCGCAGTGAAACATTACTGATGATGAGGATGAAGGCTGTGTGCTATACTGCATTAGAGGACTGTATAGGGGCGATGCTGTCTGTGATGGAGAGGAAGGGAATCCTGCTGTTATTATAGTTAATTATAACTGTTTTCATGCCTGAACATAACGAAACCACAGAACAGACCCGCAGTGAAGAGCAAGCGGCGCCCCCTGGTGGATCAGCAGTCTGGGTTGTGTATAGGGAGGATCGGCTCTGATGTTTGTTGCCAGCCTCCAGAGAAACAGCTTTACAGGATGATATCGGGACAGAACCGTCACATACAGGAGAACGGCGGGAGGAAGAGCAGCAGGGTTGACGGTGTGGTCTGCTGACGGCAGCTGAACTGCAGCACATCTCTCTAACCACAGTGACCCCGTCATCATTACAGCATACAACTCACTCTGACTGAACTGTGACAGGTCAATATAACCAACAACCAGCAGAACCCTGACCACACACACACACACACACACACACACACCACTCAGATGCAGAGTGCAGATGACGAGAGCAGAGTGTGTGTGTGTGTGTGTGTGTGTGTGTGTGTGTGTGTGTGCTGAGGAGGGAACTGGGGGAGCGCTGCTGTTATGTGTAATGGAGGTCAGCTAGTGAGTGCTGTGCAGGTAAACCTCGATCCTCCGACCTCTAGAGGTGCTCTAGCGACAGACACTAGAGGCCATGGTGTTTCGCCTCCTTGTAAGGCCTGGTTTATACTTCTGCAGCAAGTGAGCGGCGTGACCCACGGCGCATGTAACGCGTGTAGCTGTGCTTATACTGCTGTTGCTAGCTCTGTTGGTCTGCATTAACACTTCTGAAGCACTAGTGGGCAGTGAGGTGTAAATGTTCCTCTGTGTCGAGTTTCTTCGCTGCTGTTTTGCTATCCTGAACACTTCCTGGATGTACAAGTGGCTCAAACTCGCTCATTTTGAGGCAGGAACCGGCGGACGTGCAGCAACTGTAACCATGAGGGAAACACAGAACAAAACTCTCCATCCGGAGCTCCTTCACTTGTAAACATTCGCGCGGCTCTCGGTCCCGCCCAGACTCGTCAGCGATACCAAGCCGACCAATCACAGAGCTTGCGCTACGCGTTGTTGTGACGTGTAGTTACATTTTTTGAGAGGTGCACGTCAGCGACGCCGATGGCCACGGCGAATGGCTATTGGTCAGCGGCGTAGCATACGCCACCGTTTGCCGCAGAAGTATAAATCAGCCTTAACATGCGAAAGGTCGCCGGTTTGATCCCAGCTCAGTGCAGGTTGGGTGGTGTGGGACCGGCGGGGTGACACATGCAGACCTTCACCCCAACACAACCCCTGACAGAGCTCACTAGCAGACTCTACAGTGAACTCCTGCTACCAGCCAATACTGCAGAGCACAGCAGCGGTACTGGAGTGTTACTGGAGTGTGTAGTGTGTACTGGAGTGTGTAGTGTGTACTGTAGTGTATACTGGAGTGTGTAGTGTATACTGGAGTGTGTAGTGTGTACTGTAGTGTATACTGGAGTGTGTAGTGTATACTGGAGTGTGTAGTGTGTACTGTAGTGTATACTGGAGTGTGTAGTGTATACTGGAGTGTGTAGTGTGTACTGTAGTGTATACTTGAGTGTGTAGTGTGTACTGTAGTGTATACTGGAGTGTGTAGTGTATACTTGAGTGTGTAGTGTGTACTGTAGTGTATACTGGAGTGTGTAGTGTATACTGGAGTGTGTAGTGTGTACTGTAGTGTATACTGGAGTGTGTAGTGTATACTTGAGTGTGTAGTGTGTACTGTAGTGTATACTGGAGTGTGTAGTGTATACTGGAGTGTGTAGTGTGTACTGTAGTGTATACTGGAGTGAAGAGTATCAAAAAACGTCACTGATCACAAATTGAACATATTAAACTAGCTTTACCTCACAGGCCCGGGAGAGAGGGAGAGTGTGTGTGTGTGTGTGTGTGTGTTTACCGAAGCCCGTGGCGCTGCTGGCGGTGGTTGTGGTTGAGGCGCCGAAACCAAACGGAGTGGATGAAGATGACTTAAATGAGAAGCCCGGAGCGCCTTCATCATCATCACCATCACACACACACACACACACAGTTATGAACGCACAACAGCAGCCGCACAGTAATGAAAACACACACACACACACACACAGAGCAGATGAGATGAGCGCCAGTGGTTTACAGCACAGTGGTATCAGGTTTACAGCAGTATCAGCGCTCCTGCAGCGCCGTCATCATGTTTAATGTTCATTATTAATAGTTTTAGATTAATTTTACTCACTCGCGCTGCCCGACGCGCCGCCGAAGTTGAACGCCATGCTTCCGGTCCTGAGCGAAACGGTCCGCCCGGAAACAAAAGCTGTGAACAAGAGGTTCCTACCGGTAGCGTCGCGTCACACACTCCTCCGGCGTAGCGCGCGAAAACATTGATATAGATTAAAGTGAAACTGGAGCTCATCAGCAGAACAGCGCCGCTCAAATGTTCAACTGTGCTTTTGCACTCAGAGTCCGCCATGTTGGGACATTAAACCTGGCCGTTATTCAGTTGCGGCTCAGGATGTGCTGCAGTCAGCAGACGACATGAAGACAGAGACACAACCGTCAACATTAATAAAACATCTTTATTAACACACCATGATGATCATGAACACACACACACACTCGTGCAGATTCACACACTCAGGCCCTTCTTCTTCATCAGGGTCTTCTTCTTCAGCTCCGTCAGCCGTTTCTTCTTCTTCTTCTGGGGCCCCGGGGCCTCCGGCCGTGGGGCTTTGGGCTCCGCCGGGGTGTTGAACACGGCCTCCGTCAGGTCAGGCTGCAGCAGCACACACTCCTCCATCCGCTTCTCCATCCGCACCTGCTTCACCATCTGACGCTCCTTCTGCCGCGCGGCTGCAGCCAGTCGGAGCATGCGCCGGTGCTGCACACACGCGCACACACACACACACACACACACACACACACACACACACACACACACACACACACACACACACCAAAACAATATTAACACTCAGATCAATAACAGATCAGTAGCAGACAGTGCTGCGTGCGTGCGTGCGTGCGTGCGTGCGTGTGTGTGTGTGTGTGTGCGCTGCTGACCGCGTTGGGTGACTGGAAGTGTGGGTTCTCGTAGAGCGTGGGTCCGCCGAAGCTGCCCTGGAAGATGCGTATGGGGTTGAGGACGAAGCGCGGGCCGATCTCCACCAGCGAGGCGTCCTCCTCCACGATCTGCAACAGGAGAACAGCGGTCAGTGGAGCGCCGCAGAACCGCAGATCCTCTCAGAACCGCAGAACCTCACCTGATAGTTCCGGAACCAGATCCTGTGGTCTGCAATGCTGAAGCTGATGACATGATCCACGAACGGCTGACTCTTAGGGTGGTGCAGCGGGGTGGAGAAGACCTGCAGGACACGAGCAGTGTTAGTGGACATTGCAGACCAGTACAAACCAGTTTGAACCAGTCTAAACCAGCTATAAACCAGCCTAGACCAACTATAAACCAGTCTAGACCAGCTATAAGCCAGTTTAAACCAGTCTGTGCGCTAGTTTAAGTCCTGAGCATGTACACTGGGGCGAATACACACACACACACACACACACACTGGATTAAAGGCGGCTGTAGCTATGGCGGGGGCTGATCACTGAGGGCTGTTCTCACATGCCGTCTTTTCTACAAGCTAGTTTGCTTTTTCGTGAGCGGCACGATGTGCTCACGCTTTCCAGGCACACCAGGTTAAAAGAACGGTGCGAGCGCACTGTGCATCACGTGACTAGAATGGACCAATCAGCTTCATCCTTCATATGGAACACACACATTACTGCTCATGAGAGAAACACGAGATGAACAGCAAACACACTCCTAATGCAGCCTGCGACTGCACACACTCTCTCTACAGGCCAATACTCACAACCACATCAATAATACAGACAGCTGTTATTGTGCTCACTGACTGACTGATTGATCTGTCGTTTATTTTCAGTGAACACATTATTCCTCATGTTTAAATGCCAGAAACTCTTGTCTTCTGTTGAGTCCACAGGGAAATGCTGCTGGGTCTGCTGTGCATCAGGCAGCGAGCCGCAGTGAAGAGCTCTATACTGTCACCAGCTGATGCAGCACAGCAGCGCCATTACACATGACAGAGTCTTCCTCAGACTACAACCACACATCCAGCATCTGCAACCCTACATGCCAGAGTCAGACGAGGAAGATGAAGATCAGAGGAAGATCAGAGAGGAAGATGAAGATCAGAGAGGAAGATCAGAGAGGAAGATCAGAGAGGAAGATGAAGATCAGAGAGAGATGAAGATCAGAGAGGAAGATCAGAGAGGAAGAGATGAAGAACAGAGGACAAACACTGAAGAGCACCTGAGTGAAGAGCTCCTTCAGCAGTGCGTACTGCGGCTCCGAGTCAAACGCCTGAAACACACACACACACACACACACACACACACACACACACACACACACACACACAATCATCATTATTACACTACATACCATCATCACACACGCTCATCATCATCATCATACACACACACACACAATCATCATTCGTACACTACACACACCATCATCACACACGCACATCATCATCACACACACACACATCATTATTACACTACACACAACATCACACACACACAATCATCATTATTATACTGAACACACAATCATCACACACGCACATCATCATCATCATCATCACACACACGCACGCACGCACACACGCACCGGGTCGAAGGACAGCAGTGGTCTGGAGCCCTTCAGGCAGTTCCCGGTCATCTTCAGCTCCGCCAGAGTGTGAACTGAGAGAGAAATAAAGCTGCTGCTCTTCAAACACTTCAACACTTATGCACACGCAAACACACACACACACACACACACGCAAACACACATGCAAACACACACACGAACGCACCCACACACACACACGCACTGCGGTAATCACTGATTAATTGTGCATAATTATATTCAGCAAACCCCCACACTGATGCACAGTATAGCCCAGACCCTGTGTGTGTGTGTGTGTGTGTGTGTGTGTGTGTGTGTGTGTGTGTGCGCGTGTGTGTGTGTGTGTGTGTGTGTGTGTGTGCGCGTGTGTGTGTGTTTCCATTGGTGGAATTTTAATGGACTTGTACCGTTTTGAACGAGAAACTTCACCGACGGTCCGTGAGGAACATTAGAGATCCTGGAAGAGAAGAGCAGATACTGTGAACATGAACACACACCACACACACACACACACACACACACACACTGCTGTGCTGCTCACCACATGTAAAGGTCCTGCTTTTTCTTGGCCTCAAAGAAGATGCACTTGTTGCAGTTCTTGATTTCACAGACCTGAAACACACACACACACACACACACACACACACACGCACACACACACACGCACACGCACACACGCACACACAGGTGAGAGAGAGCTTTAATTTTATTGTCATTTCAGCTTCTATGGCTGTCATGGCACAATAAAACAGATCAAGGTTTCCAGAGTTTATAAACACACTTCACTATATTTATTAAAGTTCTAATAATTAAAAGTGATTAACAGAAATAAATAATACACAAGGTAAATACATAAATGATGATGATAAGATAAAAATTACAACAGTTTTGATCAAAATTCTGCAGTTTTAGAGATTCACATTCAACACTTTGGCTTAAAGTGTCTGCAGATGCAGACGGTGTGTGAGAACAGCAGAATCTGAGTCTGCTGCACAGGCCAGAGTCAGCCGGGCGCAGCGAGCTGCTGTACCTCGTTCACCACGAAGAGCTTGTCTTTTCTGTCCATCTTTGTGTCTGAAAACAGAACAGAGACTCAGCATCAGCGCGCGCACATGTGTGTGTGTGTGTGTGTGTGTGTGTGTGTGTGAGAGAGAGAGTGTGTATCTGTGTGTTACCGGCTCTGCTGTGTGGCATCAGGGTCTTCAGGTCCTGCATCAGGTGTCTCGTCCTGAAGCTGATCCCTCGAGAGGAAAACACCAGCACTCGCTCCTTATTGGTCCATTTACCCTGAGGGGGCGGAGCAAAGCAGTTCATGCAGAGGCTTAAGGCCAAAGAACAGCATATACACACTAGCAGACACACACACACACACACACACACACGCACACATTCACACACACGCACACACTTAGGCTGCACACTGTTGGCCTGTGTCCACTGACAGGTACAGTACAGCACAGGTCGGTACGGGTCACCTTTATCCGTGATTCTGGCTGGAGGAAAAGTCTAGAGTAAAGCTGTACGGGTCGCACACACATTATATGAGCAGCATGAGTGTGTGTGTGTGTGTGTGTGTACGTGTTTTTGTGACATATCAGGACACAGATCTGTATAATGACACAGGTATTTCAAAAATGAGGCTCCAGCATGGCCCTGCAGTGCTGATGAGGGATCAGTGTCGAGCCGGAGCACAGAGCCGAACACCACACCAGTGGAGACTCTGCAGGACTGACGAGCAGTGGCTGAACTAGGTACTGCACTCCTGCATCAAAACACAGTGCAGACTGCCAGATTGAGGACGGAGCCTAAACGCTGATTTAGCTTGTGTTCCAAATATAAGCAGCGGCACGCTATACAAGGACTATTCACCATAGTAAAGGAGTTATTGTCCTGATCAACAGCTGAAATATATATTAGAGACAGAACACTGACACTGATCAGCTCAGCTCATGTGCTGTATTCAGTGTTTAACACTGATAATGCGAGTCTGACAGGACATTATCAGCACACTACTGACAGCAGCAGCAGAGAGTTCAGCTCAGATCTGCAGAACACAATAAAGAGTCTGAAACTGAACTTCAGACCTGCAGACCAACACATATCAGTAGCCGCGTTTCCACTATCGCGCCTAAAGCGAGCGAGCCAGGGCGAGCCAAGGCCAGTGGGGTTTCCACTGTCACTTCCGGGGCCTAATCGGGCCAAAGCGGGGCTTTCTTGGGGCCAGCGGCCGGCCTTTTTCGGCCCGCCGAATACCTTGGGCCAAGGAGGGCCAGCTGGGGCTTCGGGGCGGAGTGAAAGAAGAGGCGGGCAGTTTTCTGATCGCACATGAGTACATGCGCCAAATAAATAAAGAAATAAGGGAAAGAAAACATCTAGCCTTATAGTCTGGGGTCTTTTTGCGTATGATCACCCTTATGTTTCCCTTTTAAATGTAAGGCTGCTGCATAAAATAATAAAGTAGTTTTAATTTATAGTGACGTTCTTTGCTGCGTCCTCCTTTATGTTTAAATAACGCATAATAATCTTTACACCATATTAAAAAAAACATCTGACAGTAAAGGTTTTCGAGAGTTTTTGTCAAGTTTAAAATGTTTGTTTGTGCACGTTTAGATGCCTGTATGTGTGTGTGAGACAGGGAAAAAGCGCTCCTTCACAGCTCTGTTATGCCGCGAGCGGCTTTTTTCTTTATTTATTTTGGAGATAATACACATATAAATACAACAGAAAGACATAAACTTAACAAAATACGTGCCCACTTTCGTAGACTTTAAACAAAATATTGTCATATCTTGATAAAATAGCCTAAGGTATATTGAAATATAATTTAAAGAATTACAAATATCGGATATATATAAAATCACATTAAATAAATTAACCAATATAAAATAAACAAAAGCTAACTATAACAATGTAGGTAGCCTATATACAATACATAAATCAAACCGTTTTAAAGCCACATATAGCCTAACTTTCATTTTGCAAAGACCTGTCTGAAAAAAAAAGATTTTTGATATTTTTTAAAAACAATAAACACCGGAGAAGGTTTGAAATATTTATATAAAGTAAATATTTATATAAGTAAATATTTATAAAGTATTTGGATACGATGATATTAATCAAATCGCGCAAACAGAGCATTATTTGGGTGAGTGAAAGCAGAATCTCCTATACCTTTTTTTCTGTCACTCAGTCCTGCGCAGCGCTCGCTGCTTTAAACACATATGGGGGAAAGTCCAAACACAAAATGTGTTCTATATCCTCAAACAACTGTTTATGTTTTTATTTGACGTGGTTAAATTTATAAATGAAACTTTAAATGAGGAGTTTTAGTGAATAGCTGCCGAGCGCAACAAATATGGCTATATTTTATTAGGCTACTCGCTCTTGTGCTGAAACACTTAACACGACTTCTATCAACACGAGGATGTTAAAAAATACATGCCATATCGAGTTATAAAGGAGAATTTCTGTGGCTTTATATTATGGATGTGTGCGCTCTCTGTGTTGGGTCCCTGCGTTAGTGGCGAGAGCACTCCATGCACAATGCAGTCGGTCGGCGAGTAAACAAATGTAATGAATGGAAATACACAGGTCTGTGCATATAGACATGTCATGTACTGCTGTACAGTAACGTGTCGTTTGTTTGTTTCGGTTGTCTTCATTTTAATGGTTTCGTTTCGTGATGATTCTATGGTGTGATTTATCTGCCTCATTCCCGCTGAAGTGGGCGGGTTGTGTGACGTTTGATTCGGGGACGTTCTGTGGGCGGTGTTTGCGTGACGCGCTGTGAGCTTTAGCCCGACAGTGGAAACGCGACATGATTTCAGCCTCATTTCTCAACCTCCCGGGCTATTGGCCCGCCCCGGCCCGATTAAAGCCCTGGCTCGCACTGGCCCGATAGTGGAAATGCGGCTAGTGATCCAGCATCTACATTAATCCTGTGATGTGTGTTCATTAGAGTATAGAGCTCAGCGTTGTGCTGGAGTGCAGTGAGTGCTCTATTCTGTGCTGTGTTTACATCTCTGTCCTCTTTCATCTGCTGCAAACAGCCAAACTGCTCATCACTGCACATCTCGTCAAGTTAGGACACGAGTTACAGTGTGACCCGCTCACCTAATGTTTACACTCCTAATGTTGATATTATTCGCTCATTAATCCCCTCATGTGGAACTCTGAATCTGCATCTCACTTCAGAGTCTGCTGCTGTCCACCGCTCGAGGCTCAGATCAACACAACCCAAAACACACACACAGGTGAGTGGACTTCACAAACCACCTGTACAAACACTGTACACCTCTCTCTAAAACTCAAGCACTCCAAACACACACACACACACACAAACAAACACACAAACAAACAAACAAACAAACAAACACACACACACACACACACACACACACACACACACACACACTAAAGGGCTGCAGACGCTCACTCGTGTTGTCATTACTAACTCTATATTCAGAGTATGTGTGTGTGTGTGTGTGTGTGTGTGTGTGTGTGTTCCTCACAGCGCTGACGGGCGGCGGGACGCTGATGATGTTCCTCTTCTCCTCCTCCGCGCTCCTCTTCTCCTCCTCCTCATGGTTATCGCTGTTATTATTGTCGTTCTCGGCTCTTAGTCTTTGTTTCCTGTTTAATTTGGCGCGCTTTGCTTTGGTCTGCGTCTGTCTCTCCGCTGCACGTTTCACTCCGCGCGCCGCCATCTTGCTCAAACACGTCACCGGAAGCGGAAACCAAGCCGAGCTCGTCACACCGGCGTGAGGCACACAGATCATAATAATGAGCTCAGAGTTTGATGAGGAGACGGCGGTGATCAGCGGACAGGAGGAGGAGAGCAGAGGAGAGGAGGAGGAGGAGGAAGAGGAGAAAAAAGAGGAGGAGGAGGAGGATGATGAAGGGTTTTCTGTGCTGTCAGAGCTGCCGGTGGAGAAGAGCGAGAGACGACCGACCTGCCGGAGATGCTGGTACACACACACACACACACACACACACACACACACACACACTCTCGCTCGCGGGGCAGTGGGGCGCAGGATGTGTCTGGCGCGGCGGGGTGTGTTGCTGTTTTCAGAGCAGCGCTGCTGTGATGTTCCAGTGCTGTGTTCAGTATCTGCATCTGCAGCGCTCTGCAGACTCACGGCTGGGCGGGGTCTGCTCTTCACATGTGGATTACTCCATTATCTGGATGTGGTTAGTGAAGATTTGATAGATCCAGGATCATTTCGTTGTCATAGCAACAGTTCTGGAGCTCCAACCTGCCCCGAGCAGCAGCTTTTTTTTTTTTTTTTTTTTTGAATACAAGAATAATAACATCACTGCATTGAAGAAAAAATACAATAACAAAAAATAAGAAAGACAGAGAGAGAAAAAAATACACAGCCTCAAACATTAATAAAAAAGATTGTCATAAGCTTTAAGAAACTTATTATTCTTCTTATTATTAATAAGCTTAAGAGATTCAATATTATACGAAATTTCAACAAGGAAAGTATTAAAAACAGGTATTGTTTTTAGAAACTTATTTTTGTGTATAAAAAATTTACAGTGTGCCCCGAGCAGCAGCTCATCTCTATCCGCTTGGGTCCAAGCGCTCTATTCAACTGAATGGGGAGACTCATGAAATGGTAATAATAAACGTTTACAAAGCGATTTAATACTTTCACGATGTATCACGATGGCAGTATATATGTCCATGCCTAATATCCGATGCCCAGAAAGTGATACATTTTTTTATAAATTGCTAATTTTTTGGTATTTGTTATGCAGCAAGCCCAGAGATTGTTGTGTACACTATGACTTTATATAAAATGAACTTTAATGTATGATAGGAATAAAACGTGATCATAAACGAACGATTTCTCCACTCGAATGAATGGCGGCTCGGACCCGGAAACAGTATTACATACGTCACAAACACGTCACCACTTAACAAGTGGATATAAACAGGGTTAGATCAGCTCAGTACTGGGAAACACTCATTCACACACACTCATACACTGCGGCCAATGTAGTTGATCAGTTCCCCTATAGCGCATGTGTTTGGACTGTGGGGGAAACTGGAGCACCCGGAGGAAACCCACACCAACACGGGGAGAACATGCAAACTCCACACAGAAACACCAACTGACCCAGCCGAGACTCAGGGCCTACTCACACTATGCCATCTGTACCGTGCCCAGGCCCGTTTCCCGGATCGTTTGAGAAGTGTGAGTGCGCTGAATCGCGCTCAAGCACGGTTCACTTGGCCGGCCCTGGCCCGGTTGGAAGAGGTGTGCCTGAGCGCGGTTCACTTGGGCTTTGGCGCGGTACGCTTGTGTGTGAGTGCAAAACGCGCCAAAGCCCGAAACCGAAAGCGAGACGTGACTTTTAAGGGACTGTTTGATATGGATTTATTAATCATTCTTACTGTTCAGTGAACGCAAACTGCCGTAGTTTATTACAGACGCAAACTCCTCACTGCACGCCAGCTGCACCTTCAGCAGACCTCCTCATTCCTGCAGCACGAGGGCTTTATGATTGTTTATGAGCGCCAAAAGTGGCGGATCTGTTCGGCGAAATATCTGACTGCGTGTCACCGCATCCCTAAGGACTGTTTGGCGAAATATTTGACTGCATGTCACTGCATATCAAACCACTGACACGATATAACTAGAGAAATGTCCACTGTGCTGCTGAGTGAGAGCGTATGGCAAGCCGTTTTAGCATTTAAACCTTGTTCAGACTATCCATAAATATATTTAGAGATATCTCTAATTATATTTTGACTAGTCATAATTATAATTCGACTAGTCAGATTGGAGATATCTGCAAATATATTATGACTGACTAGTCATGTTCCTACATTGACTTCCATTGAAAAATATTTGCAGGTATCTCTAAATGAGTTTTGACTCTTCAAAAATCCAATTCAAGATATCTACAACTGTAATTCGACTATTAGTTGATTAATTAGAGATCTTTAAATATATTTGTAAATATCTCTAAATATGATGAATTAAAGACATCTCCAAATGTATTATGACGAGTCAAAACTCATTTAGAGATATCTGCAAATATTTTTCAATGGAAGTCAATGTAGGAATATGACTAGTCATAATATATTTGCAGATATCTCCAATCTGATTTCGTACTAGTACAATTGTAATTGCAGATATGTCTAATTGTCATTCTGAGTAGTGGAATTATAATTATGACTAGTCAAAATATAATAAGAGATATCTCTAAATATATTTATGGAGTCAGAACAAAGATTTAAATGCTAAAAAGGTTTGCCATAGAGAGCGCTTCTGAACAGCGCAGCAGCGATGACGTAAGCGTGCCGAGGCCCGATATGGTGTGAGCGCGGGCCGTCGGGGGAGACGGGAGGGGGGACAAGCGTGCTTTGGCCCGGTTCGAGGCAACTGTACCTAGTGTGAGTACGGCCTCAAACCAGAGACCTGAGTGTTGTGAGGTGAGAGTGCTGCCCACTGTGCCACCGTGACGCCATTGGAAAAATCAGCCTATATATGCTTTTTCTATCGCAAACAGCCGGTTGTTAGAGAGGATCAGTCAGTGTTTTTGTTTTGTAATCTAAATTAGGGATTTAAGTGAGTGTTTCTAGGAGGATTCATTTAATTCTCTTGATTTGGTTTATTTGTCTAGATTTGTTCACACAAATCAGGATTTTAAAATGCAATATTTAATGTGTCAGACACAAAATACACACGTACAGTATCATCTTTAAATTAAATAATACTTTAATATTAGTCTGTCTGGTAACAGTTATTCGGTTAACCAGCGGAGGTTATTGGTTTTAACAAAGGAGATTAAACATGTGGGCTGATGGATGTGTTCAGTGCAGTGAGTTTCCACCGATTCCTCACTCCACCAAAGTAAAGGAGTAAAGTAAAGGAGTAAAGTAAAGGAGTAAAGTAAAGAGTAAAGTAAAGGAGTAAAGTACAGAGGCTGAATGGAGGAGGCTGGTTCTTTATCCTCGTGCTGCAGATGCTCTGTTTAACTGCGTTCTTGCTAGTAAAGTGTTCAGTTCAGTTTTTACTCTTACAGACTCGCCATGTCAATAGTAAATGCACCCTGGAGCGACAAAACTGACTCTTAAAGGGAATGAGAGACGAGATTGATTTAATGCAGGTTCTGCTCAAAACACAACCAGAACTACGGCCAGACAGGATCTGCGACTGGTTTTGTTGTCTCTCAGAGGAGATGAGGAGTGTTTAGCTGTGCGGGGACTGACAGTGAGTCTGCGGTGTGTGTGTGTGTGTGTGTGTGAAAGAGAAGAGCTGTCCACCGCTGAGGATCAGGGAACTTCTGGAAACTGAATTACAGCCTCTGCGGCGGCGCTCACACCCTGACCCGACACAGCTGGAGGTGTAGACTGACCACAGGACACTCTGACGGCTTCATTAACCTGTGTGTGTGTGTGTGTGTGTGTGTGTGTGTGTGTGTGTGTGTGTGTGTGTGCGCACGCTCTGTCCACCAGTCGTCCACTGAAGGTGTGCCTGTGTCCGTTTCTCCCTTCGCGTCCCCTTGACGTCTCCACATGTCTCTACATCGTCCAGCACCCTGCTGAGGTCAGTGTGTGTGTATAGTGTGTTTCAGTGTGTATAGTGTGTTTCAGTGTGTATAGTGTGTTTCAGTGTGTATAGTGTGTGTGTGTCTGACTGCTGTGTTCCTGCAGGAGAGTCGGGTCCTCCGTACGGTTCCTCTGCTGGCCGCGTGTCTGCCGGTAGCCAAGTGTCGAGTGCTGGTGGGACGCCGGTTCTCTGAGGACAGGTGATGCTGCAGCAGGAGCACACACACACTATACACGCGCACACACAACACACACACACACACACTATACACGCGCACACACAACACACACACACACACACACACACTATACACGCGCACACACAATATACACACACACTATACACGCGCACACACAACACACACACACTATACACACAACACACACACGCACACACAACACACACACACACACACACACACACACTATACACGCGCACACACAACCAACACGCACACACACACTATACACGCGCACACACAACACACACACACACACACTATACACGCGCACACACAATATACACACACACTATACACACACACTATACAGGCGCACACACAACACACACACACACACACACACACACACACACACACACTATACACGCGCACACACAATATACACACACACTATACACACGCACACACAACACACACACGCACACAACACACACACACACACACTATACACACGCACACACAATACACACACACATAATATACACGCGCACACACAATATACACACACACTATACACACACACTATACAGGCGCACACACAACACACACACACACACACACACACACACACACACACACTATACACATACACTATACACAGTCACACACACATACACACACGCACACACAACACACACACGCACACACAACACACACACACTATACACACGCACAGACAAAACACACACACACACACTATACACACGCACACACAATACACACACACACACTATACACACAATACACACACACACACACTATACACACGCACACACAATACACACACACACACTATACACACAATACACACACACACACACACTATACACACGCACACACAATACACACACACACATAATATACACGCGCACACACAATATACACACACAAACACACACACACTATACACATGCACACACAATACACACACACTCAAACACCTTATACTGACACACACACACACACAAACCCACTTACATACACTATACACACTCACACACACATACACACACACACACACACACACACACACACACGCAAACACATGTTACATAAACACACACTCTCACTCTCACAGTCAAACACACGTTACATACACACTCTCACACTCACTCACACACTGTCTGTGTGCAGATACCCGGAGCTGGCGGCGGTGTGTAGAGACTCACACACTCTGGTTCTGTATCCTGGAGCAGACGCACACAACCTGGAGGAGCTGCAGCCACACACAGGCGACACACACACAAACACACACACACTCATCCTGATCGATGGCACCTGGAGCCAGGCCCGGGACATGTTCCTGAAGAACACACTGCTGCAGCTGCCCCGACAGGTACACACACACACACACACACACACACACACACACACACACACACTGCTGCAGCTGCCCCGACAGGTACACACACACACACACACACACACACACACTGCTGCAGCTGCCCCGACAGGTACACACACACACACACACACACACACACACTGCTGCAGCTGCCCCGACAGGTACACACACACACACACACACACACACACACACACACACTGCTGCAGCTGCCCCGACAGGTACACACACACACACTGCTGCAGCTGCCCCGACAGGTACACACACACACACACACACACTGCTGCAGCTGCCCCGACAGGTACACACACACACACACACACTGCTGCAGCTGCCCCGACAGGTACACACACACACACACACACACAAACACACACACACACACACTGCTGCAGCTGCCCCGACAGGTACACACATATACACACACACACACACACACACACACACTGTTAAGGCTGATTCATACTTCATAGCCCTACGCTGTGGCTGTCGGCGTCGCTGACGTGCACCTCTCAAAAAATGTAACTACACGTCGCAACAACGAGGCGTAGCGCAAGCTCTGTGATTGGTCGGCTTGGTATCGCTGACGAGTCTGGGCGGGACCGAGAGCCGGGTGAATGGTGCGAGCCCGATGGAGCGATTGTTTACAAGTGTGGAGTCCCGTGAAGGAGCTCCGGATGGAGAGTTTTGTTCTGTGTTTCCCTCATGGTTACAGTTGCTGCACGTCCGCCGGTTCCTGCCTCAAAATGAGCGAGTTTGAGCCACTTGTACATCCAGGAAGTGTTCAGGAAAAGCAAAACAGCAGAGAAGAAACTCGACACAGAGGAACATTTACACCTCACTGCCCACTAGTGCTTCAGAAGTGTTAATGCAGACCAACAGAGACAGCAGCAGCAGTATAAGCACAGCTACACGCGTTACATGCGCCGTGGGTCACGCCGCTCACTTGCTGCAGAAGTATAAACCAGGCTTTATCCAGCACATGGTTTTTTTTACACAGCGGATGCCCTTCCAGCTGCAACCCATATCTGGGAAACACCCATACACACTCATTCACACTCATACACTATGGCCAGTGTAGTTGATCAGTTCCCCTATAGCGCATGTGTTTGGACTGTGGGGGAAACCGGAGCACCCGGAGGAAACCCACACCAACACGGGGAGAACATGCAAACTCCACACAGAAACACCAACTGACCCAGCAACCTTCATGCACTACCCAGCACTACCTACTGAGTCACCTGTGTGTGTGTGTTGATGTTAAAGCTGTGTTTATGTGGCAGGTCCAGCTCTGCAGCGCCCCCTCCAGTCAGTACGTGATCCGCACGCAGCCCAACAACATGTGTGTGTCCACGCTGGAGTGTGCGGCGGTGGCGCTGTCTGTGCTGGAGAATGACCACAACATTCAGGAGGTCTGCACACTCACAAACACACACACACACACACACAAACACAGAAACAGACACACACAAACGCAGACACACAAACACAGACACACACACTCTCTCAATTCAATTCAACAGTTGCTTTATTGATATGACATGACAAATGTATTGCCAAAGCATTTATGGAGCTAATATATAATAATAATGATGATATTAATATTTGATAATAAATAAAACACATTAATATATCACATTACTCTATTCATCATGTTTATAGTGGCTTGAGAAAATCATAACTCTTCATCAGACTCTCATACAGACTTAAGATTTGGCTCATTTAACTCAGACTACCAATCTGCCAATCACTGATCACCTTACATCTTACTAGCCACACCCTAGCAACTGTCCCATAGACATACATTATAAAAAACTGCCATTGACTTTACATTGGACATGCTAACAACATACCAACTCATGCTAACAATATGCTAATCATATTAGCAAACATGATAATTCATACCAAATTCATGCTAACGGCATGCTAGTTGATACTAGAAACATGCTAGTGACATGCTAATTCATGCTAAAACAATCCTAACAACATGATAATTTATGCTAGAAACATGGTAATTTATGTTAGCAACTGCCTAGCAACCAATCAGAACACTTTTAGCAACTGCCTAGCAATGCCTTAGCAACCACTCAGAACACCATAGCAACTGCCTAGCAACACCTTATCAATCACTCAGAAGATCCTAGCAACACTCTAGCACAGGGGTTTTCAAACTTTTTCAGCTGAGGGCCCCTTTGTGTAGGGCGAATTCTTTTGGGGACCCCCAAAAATAAAAATGACCCCTAAAAAAAAAAACTCAAATTAACAACTGTACTTAAAAACAATGTTTAATTGTATTTTTCAATATATTTATATTATTATATATTATTCAATAAATGTTCATTATCTGGATTAGTTTTTGTAAGATGTTAGTTGAGTTGACGGTTTCAGTGCTTCAATCTATTGATCAAATCTTGATGCGCAGTGTTCATTGTGGTCTGCTCTCACTGCATTCCATCAAGACATATTTTGTGTTGGAGTCGTCACGTTTACACAGTTTATTATGCCATTTTTATGCTTTTTTCTGCCTATGCACAGCTACACTCTTCTGTATTTACCCTTACAGCTGAGAGTCTAAATATATCCAAAGTTTTAAAGAGTTTTGTCATTCATCAGCTGTTAACAGTTAACTCTACTGTTGTAACCAGCAATACTACAATAGAGGCTGTAGTGGTTCAGTGTGTTTTGTTTATTTTTATTCTTTTTTTTGTGCACATCATAGTTTACTCAGGTCCACAATCCTGACTTACACTGATAAAAAATCATTTCCTACATGCAATCTAGAATTGGGTATTCAAGTTCAAACAGCCACAAGTTTTACTTTGCATAATTTTAGAAGCTTTGCTGACTTTAACATGTTCATACCAGTGTGTTCTATTAATAATAATACAGAACACTGCACCCAGCTGATCGGTTACTTAGCAACGCAAGCCATATACAGGGAAGTGCTTTCAGCCTCCGATAATGTTCTTATTGATCATGTATTTTAACTGAAATATTGTCAGCAAATAGACCTGAGCATTCATTTAGTTGTTTAGCGTAAAAGAGGTAAGCGTAAGTGAAAGATAAACAGCATCAGGTGCAGCAGACAAGCGCCAAAAATCACAGGAAGAGGCCGGCCAGAAGCGCTTATTCAATAAAAGTCCCCGTGCACAGAGGCGAGCCGCTGCGCTTCTTTCCCTGTGTCAACTGCATTTAAATGACATAAGAATAAGGCTAATTTTTGCAGTACTTTTGAGCTCAAATTATAATAAAAATATATTAACCTTCAGAATGATGCGGGACACAAAATTCATCCATGTGGGCCCATTGATTACCCCTCATCTAAAATTTCTTTGCGACCCCCCCTAGCGCCATCTGGCGGCCCCCAGTTTGAAAACACCTGGTCTAGCAAACACTCAAAACCCCCTAGCAACCACCTAGCAACACCTCAGTAATTACCTAGAACATCTAAGCAAACACCTTAGCAACAACCTAGCAGCCAATCAGACCATCTTGGCAACTGCCTAGCAACATCTAAGCAACTAATCAGAACACCCTAGCAACTGCCTAGCAACACCTTAACCACCTAACACACTCTAGCAACACCTTATCAACCACTCAAAACACCCTAGCAACCACCTAGCAATGCCTTAGCAACCGCCTAGCAACCACTTGGAATACCATAGCAACCGCCTAGCAACCACTCAGAATAACATGGCAACTGCCTAGTAACACCTTATCAACCACTCTGAAGACCCTAGCCACGGCCGAGCAAACTTTTCAAAACACCCTAGCAACCACCTAACAACATTGGTAATGACCTAGAACATCTTAGCAACCACCTAGCAGCCAATCAGAACTTCTAGGCAACTGCCTAGCAACACCTTAGCAACCACTCAGAACACCCTAGCAGCCTAGCAACACCTTAACCACCTAACAAACCCTAACATTACCTTAGCAAGCAACCACTAAAAACACCCTAGCAATGCTCTAGCAGCCACTTAGAACACCATAGCAACTGCCTAGCAACCACTCAGAACACCCTATAAACAGCCTAGTAACGTCTTAGCAACCACCTAGCAATGCCTTAGCAACCACTCAGAACATCCTAGCAACCGCCTAGCAACACTCTCTCTCTCATAATAACATACACACTAACAGGGGTCACCAAACCTGTTCCTGGAGGGCCGGTGTCCTGCAGCTCCAACCCTAATCAAACACACCTGAACAGCTGATCAAGCTCTTACTAGGCGTACCTGAAACACCCAGGCAGGAGTGCTGAGGCAAGATGGAGCTGAACCCTGCAGGACACCGGCCCTCCAGGACCGAGATTGGTGACCCCTGACCTAACAGATGAGTTTGTGGAACTGAGCTGTATGTGTGTGCGTGTGTGTGCGTGTGTGTAGGTGCTGCTGCGGCCCCTGCGCGCGCTCTGTTCGTTCCAGCTCCAGCACGGAGCGCAGGTCCACCACAGTAAAGAGCAGCTGATCAGGAGCGGAGAGTACAAGAAGAGCCTGCCCAGAAACAAGCGCAAGATACGCCGCATGCAGAAGCTCATCAGCAACCACACCATCTGACACACACACACACACACACACACACACACACACACACACCATCATCATCATCATCATCAGCAACCACACCATCTGACACACACACACACACACACACACCATCATCATCAGCAACCACACCATCTGACACACACACACACATACACACACACACACACACACACACACCATCATCATTATCATCATCAGCAACCACACCATCTGACACACACACACACACACACACCATCATCATCATCAGCAACCACACCATCTGACACACACACACACACACACCATCATCATCATCAGCAACCACACCATCTGACACACACACACACACACACACACTATCATCATCAGCAGCAACCACACCATCTGACACTCACACACACACACACACACACACACCATCATCATTATCATCATCAGCAACCACACCATCTGACACACACACACACACACACACCATCATCATCATCAGCAACCACACCATCTGACACACACACACACACACACCATCATCATCATCAGCAACCACACCATCTGACACACACACACACACACACCATCATCATCAGCAACCACACCATCTGACACACACACACACACACACACACACACACCATCATCATTATCATCATCAGCAACCACACCATCTGACACACACACACACACACACACACACCATCATCATCAGCAACCACACCATCTGACACACACACACACACACACACACACACACACACACACATCATCATCATTATCATCAGCAACCACACCATCTGACACACACACACACACACACACCATCATCATCATCATCAGCAGCAACCACACCATCTGACACACACACACACACACCATCATCATCAGCAACCACACCATCTGACACAAACACACACACACACCATCATCATCATCAGCAACCACACCATCTGAGACACACACACACAATCATCATCAGCAGCAACCACACCATCTGACACACACCTCCTCCTCCTCCTCGTCGGTGCTGGAGCTCAGGATAATCTTCATGGTTTTACTGGTGTTTGTTTGTAGCAATAAAGCAGTTCTTGGTTAAAGTTTGTGTTTGTGTGTGTGTGCGTGCGTGTGTGCGTGTGTGCGCGCACGGTCATAAACTACATCTGACCTGTTTCTGAACTACATCTCACCGAAGAACATACGAGACTCAAACAGCCAATGGGATCGCGAGTCTCAGCTCCTCCCGCGGCTTTTAGACCAATCACATACGGGCAAATACATGTAAGGCGGCACCGGCGCTTCCGATTGGCTGTTGAGCGTGTTGACGTCGCGCTGAAATGAGGAATGAACAGTGAAGTGACGGCGCTCCTCATCAGCGCGGATCTCCTCCATAAGGTACAGAAGCTCAGCTCACTCACTCACATTCACTCACTCACATTCTCCTCATATCAGGATATTCAGTTAGGCTGACGCTGATCATTGCACTTCCTGTGTGTGTGTGTTCAGAGATGTGTGTAGTGCTGAAGTCCTCTGTGTTCGTCTGAGATCATCATGTTCATGTCCTCTGTAGTGTAGTTATACCCGCAGCGCAGGTGAGTGTGTGTGCTGTCAGCCCGGATTGACTGGAACATGAGGTCATGACAGTGTGAATAAACAGCAGCATTAGTGTGGGCAGTGTGGAGAGAGTGTAGTGTGCTGTGTGTGTTTGAGCAAACTCCAGTCCAGCGCAGCATTATAGCGGACCGGTCAGGTCATGAGCGCAGCAGCATACAGTGAGCTGATCAGCGGCAGGAAACACTGCACATGTCAGAGGAACACTGCTGTGTGCGGGTGCTGTCCGTCACTGTATCAGTAAAGCCCATCATTGTGTTCAGTATTGACCCTGCGTATGGGCTGATTTCTGACCCAGGCACCATCCAACAGCAGAAACTAAACCCTAATCTAACTCGACCCAACATTAGACAACACTGTCCTGTCTGCTTTCATGTGTTACCAAGGCTGAACACATTCAGGGCACAGCGCTTGTGCTTCAGCTATAAACCACTATTACACCACAGAAACTACTGACACACACACACACACACACACACAGAGAGAGAGTAATAATCTGCTGCTGTATGAGTTATGAGCGCTGTCCTGCTAAACACTCTTCACACGTGTGCCGGTGATCTATCATGAACACAGCCTTTACTGTAGTGAGCGTCGAGTGTTGTCCACTGAGTGAACACTGCTCAGACTTTACTGTAGTGGAGTTACAGGACAACAGCAGTGTTAATAACGAGTGTTGCTGTGTTTATTACGGTGTTATTACACACTGTTGTTGTGTTACTGCGCTCTGTACACTGCTATTAAAGAGTTGTTGTTATTGTGTTCATTATTGTCAGATGGCAGGCTCCTCCGGCATGAGTCCACAGGCGCTGAAGGACACGCTGATCTCCTACCACCAGCTAGAGGATGCGGACTGGAGACTCTCGAAGAGATCGGTCAGTGGGGTTAGCCAGGGTTAGCAGGAGTCAGTGGCGTTAGCGGGAGTTAGTGGCTGCCAGTGGGGTCAGTAGGTGCTAGTGGGGTTAGCTGAGGTCATTGGGGTAGGGGGGTCAGTGGGGTTACTGGGGGTTAGTGGGTACTAGTGGGGTCAGTGGTGTTAGCGGGGGTCAGTAGGTACTAGTGGTGTCAGTGGTGTTAGCGGGGGTCAGTGGGGTTACTGGGGGTCAGTGGGTACTAGTGGGGTCAGTGGTGTTAGCGGGGGTCAGTAGGTACTAGTGGTGTCAGTGGTGTTAGCGGGGGTCAGTGGGGTTACTGGGGGTCAGTGGGTAGTAGTGGGGTTAGCGGGGGTCAGTGGGGTTACTGAGGATCAGTGGGTACTAGTGGGGGCAGTGGGTGTCAGTGGGGCTAGCAGGGGTCAGTAGGAGTCAGTGGGGTCAGCGAGGGTTAGAATAGGTCAATAGGATCAGTGGGGGTCTCTATGGTCAGCAGAGGTCAGTGGGGTCAACAGGAATTAGTGGGGGTCAGTGGTGGTCAATGGGGTCAGTAGGGGTTAGTGGGGGTAACTGATGACAGCAGGGTCAGCAGGCTGATTAGTGTCTGCTCGTGTCTAAAACTCTGACTATGTCCGGTCTGTGTGCTGCAGAAGGACGTGTCGGTGTGGCAGAGAGCCTCACAGGAGTTCAGCGGCAGTCTGTGAGTGTGCGCCGGCTCTTGGTGCCCTGTGCCCGGGGCCACTCTCTGACCTCTGGTTTGCGGGGCCCTATGCTGCTCTCTGACCTACAGCTCTCGGTGCCTTGTGCCCAGCACCCCTCTCTGACCTCTGGCTTGTGGTGCCTTGTGCCCAGGGCCGTTTTCTGAGCTCTGTGACCTCCGGCTCACTGTGCCCTGTGCCTGGGCCACTCTCTGACCTCCAGGTTCTGTGTGCAGGTATAAAGCTCAGGGCAGGGTGCGTGGAGACCCGCAGCAGATCGTGGACTTCCTCCGACCGGGAGCCCGTCGGCTAGACTGGGACAGCATGATGACCTCCATGGAGATCCTGGAGACCCCGGAGCAGGTCAGAGTGTGTTAAAGTACAGCCGGCCATAACAGCAGATCCCAGAGCAGCAGTGATGAAGACACGAGACAAACACAACACACATCCCAGAAACACAACACACACAACTCAACACACACAACTCAACACACACAACACACACAACACAACACACACACACAACACACACAACAGAACACAACACACACAACTTAACACACACAACACAACACACACAACACAACACACACAACTCAACACACACACACAACACAACACACAACTCAACACACACAACACAACACACACAATAGAACACAACAGACACAACTCAACAGAACACAACACACTCGACACACACAACACAACTTAACACACACAACAGAACACAACACACTCAACTCAACACACACCCACACAACAGAACACAACACACTTGACACACACAACTCAACACACACACTTACAACAGAACAGAACACACTCAACACACACAACACAACTTAACACACCCAATAGAACACAACAGACACAACACACACAACACAACACACAACTCAACACACACAACACAACACACACAACTCAACAGAACAGAACACACTCGACACACTGCTGCAGGTGTCTGTCAGACTGGTTCCTCTCGCGACTCGGTCAGGACACTCTGGGTCAGGATGGTGTTGAGCTGAGCTGAGCTGCTGTGTGTGTGTGTGTGTGTGTGTGTGTGTGTGTGTGCCGCTTCAGTAATGTGTCTTCAGTAACTGTGTGAGCTGTACAGTGTGTGCGCACAGCTCAGCTCAGCAGACTCAACTCCTCTACAGAGATCAGCAGCGGAGGCTCCACCTCTTCCTGTTCTGGTGATTTCATTTCCTGTCTGCTGTGCCTCATTCACTGAGTGTGAGGAACACTGAGATTGAAGGAACTGAGAGTGTGTGTGTGTGTGTGTGTCAGGGCTGCTGTGTTGTGAAATACACCACCTCAGGGCAGCTGTGGAACATCATTTCTCCTCGTGAGTTTGTGGATTTCTCCTACACCAGCGAGTGCGAGCGCGGCCTGCTGTCCTGCGGTCAGTTCTGTCAGTGTGTGTGTGTGTGTGTGTGTGTGTGTGTGTGTGTGTGTGTGTGTGCTGTAACCTGTGTTCTGCTGTTCTGCAGGTGTGAGTGTGGACCGTGAGCAGCACAGTTCAGGGTGTGTGCGTGGCTTTAATCATGCGTGTGGGTGGTTCTGTGTTCCCACTGATGATCCGTCCCTCAGTCTGCTGACCGGGTACATCCAGACGGATCTGCGTGGTCACCTGCCCCGCGCCGCCGTGGACACGGCCATGGCCAGCGGACTCATCACCTTCTTCAGTGACCTGCAGCGCGCTCTGGACGCTTAACTACACACACACACACACGCACACACACACACACACACACACACACACACACACACCACTGTGATTTAAACACTCACTCATTCTCCTTCACCTTAGTTCCTTTATTTATCAGGGGTCACCACAGCAGAATGAACCACCAACTTATCCAGCACTTGTTTTACACAGTGGATGCCCTTCCAGTCGCAACCCAGTACTGGGAAACACCCATACACACTCATACACTACGGCCAGTTAAGTCGATCAGTTCCCCTGATGTGCGCATGTGTTTGGACTGGGGCGGGTGGGCTGGATGCTGGTGTGTGTGTGTGTGTGTCAGATGTTCTGTGCTGTCGGAGCGGTGTGACAGCAGATCTGCTCAGCTTCATGAGCTGGACTCCTCTGTGCGCCGGCAGGGCTCTGTTCAGCGTCTCGGCTCTGTGTGTGCGTCTGCAGCTCTGCTCTGCTGCTGGGGTGTGAGCTGAACAGGTGTAACTGAATGAAGCGGGTTTGCTCCTTGTTTAAGAATGTTAATGTGAATAAAGCATGTGCTGGGATTGTCCATCCTCCTGCCTGAGTGTCTTCATGACGAGCAGAAACACAGAGGAAGCTCCAGACGAGGACACTGATGTGGAAACTGCCGGCGGACACAGAGGTCATGTGATCATTAGAGAGAGAGAGAGAGGCTGTGCTCTACACATCTGCAGATCAGCACTGAACACTCAGCAGCAGCTCTCCGCATCGCCTCTGCGTCAGGGCAGACTCCAGCTGCTCTCAGTGTTTCCTACGTTTGAGATTTCCCTCATATTATCCAATCACAACGATCCAGCAGTGGGAGACATGCTCACTCACACAGACTGTACATCTGCACTCACTCTCCTTCAGCGGGTCCGCTATTCAGTTCAGTTGCTCTGTAATTGTACAGCGCTTTAACAATGTAGAGTCGAAGCAGCTTCACACAGAAGACTATAGTGAAGGAACACAGAGCAGATCAGTGTTCAGAGCTTCAGTTCAGTGTGCTTTAATAATCACTACTGAGAGTCCAGACACTGAAGAGCAAATCCACCTTTATTAATCAGGGGTCGCCACAGTGGAATGAACCGCCAACTTATCCAGTGTATGTTTTACACAGCGGATGCCCTTCCAGCTGCAACCCTAATTCCCCTAACCTGCCTAGTTCCCCTAATTACCCTAGTGAAGCCTTTACATGTCACTGTAAGCTGTATAGAAGTGTCTTGAAGAATATCTAGTCTAATATTATTTACTGTCATCATGATGAAGAGGAAATAAATCAGTTATTAGAGATGAGTTATGAACACAGTTATGATCAGAGATGTGCTGGAGAAATCTGCTCTCTGCAATACAGAAAACAACCAGGGGGTGGGGGAGAATGATTCTGGCCTCAGCTGTATGTGTGTATATATAGATAAACCTGTTTTAGCATCTTCATACTGGAACAGTCTTCAGTGTCCTACAGTGCTGCAGATCTCCTGTAATCAGTGCTGAATGCTGTTGAGCAGGTCTGCTTATCCTCTCATGTGTTTGTACTGAAACTCAACCAAGACTGCCTCATTGTAGAAGATAAACTGTTGTATGGAGGCTGTGTTCTGTTTGATCTGTACTGTAAATCTTTAGTTGTTCCTGCATTGATTGAACAGTTGATCTCGCCGTGTGGTCGCTCACCTCTCTGAGCTCCGGTTTGTCCGCTAGACGGCTCCGTTTTCAGCTCCGCCCCCTCCCGCGCTCGGTTAATCTCGGTGATCATCGGCAGCAGTCGTGGTTGATGTCGACGCACCCACTGTTTTCGTGTTGTTCCTGACAAACCAATGTCCTTTAAGTCTGGCGGTGACGTGTGAGCTGAAGCCCCGCCCACGGACGCAGAAACGTCAGTTGGAGCGCATGCGCGGAAGACTAGCGATCGGAGTGTGTTGAGTCGGTATTCCGGTTCCGTAGAGTCGGTGAAGCTGGAGCTCCGGTGTGAACATGAGTCTGACAGCCGGTAACGGGACCGGGCGGATCGGCTCCGGGTTTCCCCGATGATGCGGCGGAGGACAGAATCCGCGGAGTGAGTAACTTTATTAATAAACACACACACACACACACACACACACACACAAACACGAGATGATCGATATCAGTCAGAGAATCGATAATCAATAGATAATCTGCTGCTGTCTCTGACCGCTTTTCCACTAGAATCCACTTACTGGACACACACACACACACACACACACACACACACACACACACACTCCTGTTTCTGTTTCAGTTTGATTCTGGAGGGTTTCCCTATTACACACACACACACACACACTATTATAAACACACAGATAGAGAGAGAGAGACGCACACATGATCATAAACACACACATGATTATAAACACACAGATACAGGGGGAGACACACACACACACACACTCGCTGTTCTTCTCTGTTTCTCTTCAGTTGTTTTGAAGTTGTGTTTTTGCTGCTGATGTTTGCAGAACTCACACTTCACTGCGGTTTGACAGCATTAAAACAGCACACACACACACACACACACGACAGAGGAGAGGAGTCAACACACAACCACACACAACCATACACACATCACCAATTATTCACACACACCCCTACACACACAAATATTCACACAAAAACGTTCACACTTTACCACACACACACACACACACACACACAATCACAATCACATATATTCACACCTCACTGCACGCACACTCACATCACAACACACACATTCACACCTCACTGCGCACAACTGCACGCCCACACACACACACACAATCACATATATTCACACTTCGCTACACACACACAGCTGCTAGTTTTGTGTGTGTGTGTGTGTGTGTGTGTGTGTTACCTCACTGATCACAGATTTACAGTTGATTAATGAGGAGCTGCAGTGTTGTGGGCTGTGTGTGCTGCAGACTGCTGTTATTATGGTGTGTCAGTCTGCTGGCCATCAGTGTGTGTGTGTGTGTGTGTGTGAGAGTGAGTAAGTTATCTGTCTGTGCAGCTGTGTGAGAGCGTGGGCGCTGCTTCAGATAACTGCTCTGCACACACTGATAACACACACACACACACACTCTCTCTCTCTCTCTCTCTCTCTCTCTTCAGTGGTGTGTGTGTGTGTGTGTGTCCACTACAGGATTAGAGACGTGCAGACACTGGTGTTGTTCAGCGTGACGTCACACAGATGATGCTGGCCAACACAGAGAACGAGCAGGTGAGAGATTCACATCATCATCATCACCACCACACTGCCTCTTTAATAGTGTGTGTGTGTGTGTGTGTGTGTGTGTGTGGACATTAAAGGGGAAGTTCCCTCAATAATGAAGGGTATGTCGGTGTTTTCTCTCCCTCTGCTGGTGTGTAATCTCGGTTGATCAGTGGAACAGTAAAGGAGATAGTTTACAGAATGCTGAAGACACTGAGAGATACTCGCGGCGCTTCTGAGTGAGTGGAGAGAGGACCGTGTTCAGTGTTGTGTGACCTGTGTGTGTGAGCGGGAGCAGATGAGTGTGTACAGTGTGTAGTGTTTGTTCATCAGGTCAGACAGCGTGAGCAGGTGAACACCGAGTGTTAATCAGGAGCGCTCAGTATGTGCTCAGATCAGCTCCAGCACATCTGCACTGCGGAGAAGCGGATCACGCTCAGGTTAATGCGCACAGGTGATCAAATCTGACCAATCAGACGAGGCCTTCACTGTCTGTAGCTCCGCCTCTCCGGCAGGTGCAGAGCTGCAGGTAAATGAGCACAGGTGATGATCACGCTGGCGTCAGTGTCTCCGGCTGGGTCACACTGCAGGTGTTCAGGGTAGCTGTGTGGGGTTGAGTATGATCATGGCAGCACTCAGTGACGGTGTGGAGGATTAGTGACGCTCTAATATTCATACGCGAACACACACACACACACACACACACACACACACACGAGCACAGCAGGAGCTGACTATAACCCTGAGCTCTGTTGACCTCAGTGTAGCGATGCTGGAGCGCTTTCTTCATCCTCTAGTGTGTGTGTGTCCTGATTATGTGTGTGTGTGTGTGTGCGCAGAAGCAGGCGAGTGGCGCCGCCCTGCAGGTCCGTCTGTACTGCTGCAGAGACGGGGCCGGAGTCATCAGCTATCCTGCAGGAGAATACACAGCGGAGGAGCTGAGCGTCACTGCAGCCAAACAATGCGGTGAGAGACTCTGTGTGTGTGTGTGTGTGTGTGTGTGTGTCTGTGTGTGTGTGTGTGTCTGTGTGTCTGTGTGTGTGTGTGTGTGGAGATTTATGCCTTACTGTAATGCAGTTATTGACCCAGAAGCACAGTGTGTGCAGCCAGACACTAGCTGGAGTGCTTAAATATAATACACATATAATCACACTCATTATGTGGAGCCACTGCTGTTTACATGACTGTGTGTGTGTGTGTGTGTGTCATGCTTCACTCTCACACTTGTCCTTTTATTTCTGAAAGGATCTGGGGCCTCATGTACAAAGATTTGCGCTGAAATCATACTAAAGCATTGCGCACGCTCAAAGCTGTAAATGTGTGTATGCAGTAATAATGCAGATGTGTGAAACTGCGTACGCTGAATCCCACACATATTCTCTTTATACAACTGAATGAACATGCGCTCCTGACGGCGTGTGTGTGTATGTGCGCTCCTGACGGCGTGTGTGTGTGTGTGTGCGCTCCTGACGGCGGTGTGTGTGCGCTCCTGACGGCGTGTGTGTGTGTGCGCTCCTGACGGCGTGTGTGTGCGCTCCTGACAGCGGTGTGTGTGTGCGCTCCTGACGGCGTGTGTGTGTGTGCGCTCCTGACGGCGTGTGTGTGCGCTCCTGACGGCGTGTGTGTGTGTGCGCTCCTGACGGCGTGTGTGTGTGTGCGCTCCTGACGGCGTGTGTGTGTGTGTGCGCTCCTGACGGCGTGTGTGTGTGCTCCTGACGGCGTGTGTGTGTGCTCCTGACGGCGTGTGTGTGTATGTGCGCTCCTGACGGCGTGTGTGTGTGTGTGTGCGCTCCTGACGGCGGTGTGTGTGCGCTCCTGACGGCGTGTGTGTGTGTGCGCTCCTGACGGCGTGTGTGTGCGCTCCTGACAGCGGTGTGTGTGTGCGCTCCTGACGGCGTGTGTGTGTGTGCGCTCCTGACGGCGTGTGTGTGCGCTCCTGACGGCGTGTGTGTGTGTGCGCTCCTGACGGCGTGTGTGTGTGTGCGCTCCTGACGGCGTGTGTGTGTGTGTGCGCTCCTGACGGCGTGTGTGTGTGCTCCTGACGGCGTGTGTGTGTGCTCCTGACGGCGGTGTGTGTGCGCTCCTGACGGCAGTGTGTGTGTGCTCCTGACGGCGGTGTGTGTGCGCTCCTGACGGCAGTGTGTGTGTGCTCCTGACGGCGGTGTGTGTGTGCGCTCCTGACGGCAGTGTGTGTGTGCTCCTGACGGCAGTGTGTGTGTGCTCCTGACGGCGGTGTGTGTGCGCTCCTGACGGCAGTGTGTGTGTGCTCCTGACGGTGCTCCTGACGGCGTGTGTGTGTGTGCGCTCCTGATGGCGTGTGTGTGCGCTCCTGATGGCGTGTGTGTGTGCTCCTGACGGCGTGTGTGTGTGTGCGCTCCTGATGGCGTGTGTGTGTTCCTGACGGCGTGTGTGTGTGTGCGCTCCTGATGGCGTGTGTGTGTGCTCCTGACGGCGTGTGTGTGTGTGCGCTCCTGACGGCGTGTGTGTGTGTGCGCTCCTGACGGCGTGTGTGTGTGCTCCTGACGGCGGTGTGTGTGCGCTCCTGACGGCAGTGTGTGTGTGTGCGCTCCTGACGGCGGTGTGTGTGCGCTCCTGACGGCGGTGTGTGTGTGCTCCTGACGGCGGTGTGTGTGCGCTCCTGACGGCAGTGTGTGTGTGTGCGCTCCTGACGGCGGTGTGTGTGCGCTCCTGACGGCGGTGTGTGTGCGCTCCTGACGGCAGTGTGTGTGTGCTCCTGACGGCGTGTGTGTGCGCTCCTGACGGCGGTGTGTGTGCGCTCCTGACGGCGGTGTGTGTGCGCTCCTGACGGCAGTGTGTGTGTGCTCCTGACGGCGGTGTGTGTGCGCTCCTGACGGCGGTGTGTGTGCGCTCCTGACGGCGGTGTGTGTGCGCTCCTGACGGCGTGTGTGTGTGTGTGTGCGCTCCTGACCGCGGTGTGTGTGCGCTCCTGACGGCGTGTGTGTGTGTGCGCTCCTGACGGCGTGTGTGTGCGCTCCTGACAGCGGTGTGTGTGTGCGCTCCTGACGGCGTGTGTGTGTGTGCGCTCCTGACGGCGTGTGTGTGCGCTCCTGACGGCGTGTGTGTGTGTGCGCTCCTGACGGCGTGTGTGTGTGTGCGCTCCTGACGGCGTGTGTGTGTGTGCGCTCCTGACGGCGTGTGTGTGTGTGTGCGCTCCTGACGGCGTGTGTGTGTGCTCCTGACGGCGTGTGTGTGTGCTCCTGACGGCGGTGTGTGTGCGCTCCTGACGGCAGTGTGTGTGTGCTCCTGACGGCGGTGTGTGTGCGCTCCTGACGGCAGTGTGTGTGTGCTCCTGACGGCGGTGTGTGTGTGCGCTCCTGACGGCAGTGTGTGTGTGCTCCTGACGGCAGTGTGTGTGTGCTCCTGACGGCGGTGTGTGTGCGCTCCTGACGGCAGTGTGTGTGTGCTCCTGACGGTGCTCCTGACGGCGTGTGTGTGTGTGCGCTCCTGATGGCGTGTGTGTGTGCTCCTGACGGCGTGTGTGTGTGTGCGCTCCTGATGGCGTGTGTGTGTTCCTGACGGCGTGTGTGTGTGTGCGCTCCTGATGGCGTGTGTGTGTGCTCCTGACGGCGTGTGTGTGTGTGCGCTCCTGACGGCGTGTGTGTGTGTGCGCTCCTGACGGCGTGTGTGTGTGCTCCTGACGGCGGTGTGTGTGCGCTCCTGACGGCAGTGTGTGTGTGTGCGCTCCTGACGGCGGTGTGTGTGCGCTCCTGACGGCGGTGTGTGTGTGCTCCTGACGGCGGTGTGTGTGCGCTCCTGACGGCAGTGTGTGTGTGTGCGCTCCTGACGGCGGTGTGTGTGCGCTCCTGACGGCGGTGTGTGTGCGCTCCTGACGGCAGTGTGTGTGTGCTCCTGACGGCGTGTGTGTGCGCTCCTGACGGCGGTGTGTGTGCGCTCCTGACGGCGGTGTGTGTGTGCTCCTGACGGCAGTGTGTGTGTGCTCCTGACGGCGGTGTGTGTGCGCTCCTGACGGCGGTGTGTGTGCGCTCCTGACGGCGGTGTGTGTGCGCTCCTGACGGCGTGTGTGTGTGCGCTCCTGACGGCGGTGTGTGTGTGCTCCTGATGGCGGTGTGTGTGTGCGCTCCTGACGGCGGTGTGTGTGCGCTCCTGACGGCGGTGTGTGTGTGCGCTCCTGACGGCGGTGTGTGTGTGTTCCTGACGGCGGTGTGTGTGCGCTCCTGACGGCGGTGTGTGTGTGCTCCTGACGGTGTGTGTGTGCGCTCCTGACGGCGGTGTGTGTGTGCGCTCCTGACGGCGGTGTGTGTGTGTTCCTGACGGCGGTGTGTGTGCGCTCCTGACGGCGGTGTGTGTGTGCTCCTGACGGCGGTGTGTGTGTGTTCCTGACGGCGGTGTGTGTGTGCTCCTGACGGCGGTGTGTGTGTGCTCCTGACGGCGTGTGTGTGCGCTCCTGACGGCAGTGTGTGTGCACTCCTGACGGCGGTGTGTGTGTGCTCCTGACGGCGTGTGTGTGTGCGCTCCTGACGGCGGTGTGTGTGTGCTCCTGACGGCGTGTGTGTGTGTGTTCCTGACGGCGGTGTGTGTGTGCTCCTGACGGCGTGTGTGTGTGTGTGCGCTCCTGACGGCGTGTGTGTGTGCTCCTGACGGCGGTGTGTGTGTGTTCCTGACGGCGGTGTGTGTGTGCTCCTGACGGCGGTGTGTGTGTGTTCCTGACGGCGGTGTGTGTGTGTTCCTGACGGCGGTGTGTGTGCGCTCCTGACGGCAGTGTGTGTGTGTTCCTGAAGGCGGTGTGTGTGTGCACTCCTGACGGCGGTGTGTGTGTGCTCCTGACGGCGTGTGTGTGTGTGTTCCTGACGGCGGTGTGTGTGTGCTCCTGACGGCGTGTGTGTGTGTGTGCGCTCCTGACGGCGTGTGTGTGTGCTCCTGACGGCGGTGTGTGTGCGCTCCTGACGGCGGTGTGTGTGTGCTCCTGACGGCGGTGTGTGTGTGTTCCTGACGGCGGTGTGTGTGTGTTCCTGACGGCGGTGTGTGTGCGCTCCTGACGGCAGTGTGTGTGTGTTCCTGAAGGCGGTGTGTGTGTGCGCTCCTGACGGCGGTGTGTGTGCGCTCCTGACGGCGGTGTGTGTGCGCTCCTGACGGCGGTGTGTGTGCGCTCCTGACGGCGGTGTGTGTGCGCTCCTGACGGCGGTGTGTGTGCGCTCCTGACGGCGGTGTGTGTGTGCTCCTGACGGCAGTGTGTGTGCGCTCCTGAAGGCGGTGTGTGTGTGCTCCTGACGGCGGTGTGTGTGTGCTCCTGACGGCGGTGTGTGTGCGCTCCTGACGGCGGTGTGTGTGTGCTCCTGACGGCGGTGTGTGTGTGCTCCTGACGGCGGTGTGTGTGTGTGCTCCTGACGGCGGTGTGTGTGTGCTCCTGACAGCGTGTGTGTGCGCTCCTGACGGCGGTGTGTGTGCGCTCCTGACGGCGGTGTGTGTGCGCTCCTGACGGCGGTGTGTGTGCGCTCCTGACGGCGGTGTGTGTGTGTGCTCCTGACAGCGGTGTGTGTGTGTGTTCCTGACGGCGGTGTGTGTGCTCCTGACGGCGGTGTGTGTGCAGCGTCTCTGTACTGAGACCCTCTGCAGTGAACACTGATCAGGGTACAGTGAGGGATATTCAACATCACCGCTTCACTGACTGTCTGACAGCAGGCCTGCTGGGAAATAGTGTCTTACACAGAACACACACACACACACGCACACACACACACACACACACACACACACACATACGGGATCTGCAGTTCTGGGTCAGCTCTGGGTCTCTCTCACTGCCAAGAGAGCGCTGCTGTGGGCTGCTGAACTTCCTGTTCCCACTCTACCACTTCCTGTTTACCCATTCGTGTGTTTTGGGTGTGTGTGTGTGTGTGTGTGTGTGTATGCATGCATATGTGTTTATTGTGTGTGTGTTTGTGTGTGTGTGTGCCCTGTATTGACCTCTCCTCTTCTGCAGGGGTCAGTTGTGTGTGTGTGTGCGCGTGTGTGTGTGTGTGCGTGTGTGTATTGACCTCTCCTCGTCTGCAGGGGTCAGTTGTGTGTGTGTGTGTGTGTGTGTGTGTATTGACCTCTCCTCGTCTGCAGGGGTCAGTTGTGTTTGTGTGTGTGTGTGTGTGTGTGTGTGTGTGTGTGTGTGTGTGTGTGTATTGACCTCTCCTCGTCTGCAGGGGTCAGTTGTGTGTGTGTGTGTGTGTGTGTGTGTGTATTGACCTCTCCTCGTCTGCAGGGGTCAGTTGTGTGTGTGTGTGTGTGTGTGTGTGTGTGTGTGTGTGTGTGTGTATTGACCTCTCCTTGTCTGCAGGGGTCAGTTGTGTGTGTGTGTGTATTGACCTCTCCTCGTCTGCAGGGGTCAGTTGTGTGTGTGTGTGTGTGTGTGTGTGTGTGTGTGTGTGTATTGACCTCTCCTCGTCTGCAGGGGTCAGTTGTGTGTGTGTGTGTGTGTGTGTGTATTGACCTCTCCTCGTCTGCAGGGGTCAGTTGTGTGTGTGTGCGTGTGTGCGTGTGTGTGTGTGTGTGTGTGTGTATTGACCTCTCCTCGTCTGCAGGGGTCAGTTGTGTGTGTGTGTGTGTGTGTGTGTGTGTGTGTATTGACCTCTCCTCGTCTGCAGGGGTCAGTTGTGTGTGTGTGTGTGTGTGTGTATTGACCTCTCCTCGTCTGCAGGGGTCAGCCCTGTGCACTGTGCTCTGTTCGGGCTGATGCGGGAGCGGGACCGTGTCTGGCTGCCACCCAATCACATCTTCAAGATCGAGCCCTCGGCCAATGAGACGCTGCTGTTCAGAGTCAGGTGTGTGTGTGTGTGTGTCATGAAGTGCAGTGCATGCTGGGATTGGTGGTGTAACCTCAGTGCTGCTCGTCTGCAGGTTCTATTTCCCCGGCTGGTACGGCAGCGGCTGCAGCTCCGCCCGCAGGTACGGCCTCAGCAGGAGCTCCGAGGCGCCGGTGTGTGATGACATCACCACAGCGTACCTGTGCGCACAGGTGAGGAGTGATGCCGCCGTGCTCCACGGGGGGCGGGGTTTCAGCAGGGGGTGGAGAGTGCAGCTGTGGTCAGTGTGGTGCTGTGGTGCTCTGTCTGCACGGCTCCTCCTCACTGATCTGCAGTCAGCAGTAGACTGGACACACTGCACACACACTGCATTATGGGGACACAGCGGAGCTCAGAAGAGGACAGAGTGCTGCTGTGTGTCTGTGAGCGAGACAGCAGGTGTGTGTGATGATCGAGAGCCGCGGTGTCCAGAGTAATGAAGCAGACCACCAGGAGGAAGAAGCACATCCAGCACAGTACCCAGACCCAAACATTATTGAGCACTTTGGGCTGTTTTGGAGGAGCGAGTCAGGACAGGGTTTCCTCCAGCAGCATCAGCAGTGACCTGAACACTATTCTGAAGAAGAACCGCTCACAGACCCTCTGGACACAGTGCAGGACTCCTGTCTGTCAATCACTACTCTGAGGAGGAGGGGCTACAGCAGCTGATGCTCCACTGAGGAGGAGGAGCTACACTAGCTAATGCTGGACTCAGGAGGAGGAGCTACAGCAGACTGATCATCAGCTACTGTGCTCTAACACTCCACCTTCAGCTTCACTGTCCAACCCCTGCATATCATTCAGAATAAAGCTCTAATAAATAAGAGAAAAGCTCAAATTAAATGTGTTATTATTGTAGAAATGGGGTTGTAGACTGCTTTATGCGAGAGTGAAATGAGAATGGCATTTACATGATGAGGTAGAGGGAAATCTGGCACATCTGTGAACTAAAGAAAGTTACTCTGTGCCTCTGTAAACATTACTCAAACAAGGTGAAGTTACTGAGGTAAACGTGAATAAATCTCTATATCATTTACAATAATAAACACTCACAGCGCAGTTCATCAGCAATATTCCAGCATCATCTCCAACTGCTGCAGTTTCTCTTGACTTCAGTTTTGATTTGCTGTGTGTGTTTTATTTGTGGGATTCATAAATCTAATTATGCATTATTAAAGTTATTTCAAAGTTCAGTCTGTCTTCAGTGAAACTGAATATCAATATCAGGGCAACAGCTGAAATAAAGTCTTCGTCTTTATAATTCTGATATAATATTATATTTCCAGCACTGGAAATGTGTAGAGTCAGATCTGTAATGTGTGTGTGTGTGTGTGTGTGTGTGTGTGTGTGTGTGTGTGTGTGTGTGTGTCAGTGGCGGTCAGACTTCCTGAGCGGAGCGGTCAGTGTCCCCGTCAGTCTGGAGTTTCAGGAGGAGTGTTTGGGTTTGGCGGTTCTGGACATCATGCGATTGGCTAAAGAGAAGGGCAAATCACCTGTCGACATCTACAACCACAGCAGGTGAGAATGACCCTGACCTCTGACCCCAGCACCGCTCATGACCCCTGACCCCTGTGTTCCTCCGCAGTTATAAGTCGTTTCTGCCGAAGAACATGCGGGAGCACATCCAGAACCAGCACTTGGTGACCCGCAAGAGGATCCGCTTCCGCTTCCGCCGCTTCCTCCAGCAGTTCGGCTCCTGTAAAGCCGCGCCGCGAGAGCTGAAGCTCAAATACGTGGTGAGCCTGGAGACGCTGCAGCCGGCCTTCTACAGCGAGCACTTCCGGGTCAGCGAGGCGTCCGCAGGAAGTGTCACCATCGTGGTGAGCGGAGACCGCGGCATCCAGTGGTGTCGGGCGGCGGCGCCGGAGCCAGAGGTCAGACTGAGATCCCTGTCCTCCATTAGTGTGATGAGCAGATATGATGTAGGAGAGTCTGCAGGGCAGTCAGTCAGGATGAAGCGTGTGTGTGTGTGTGTGTGTGTGTGTGTGTGT